ATTTGGAGAGGAACAGCTTGGAAAGTGGAGATTGGAGACAATTAGAAAAGGGGGAAATATTGCCTAGAAGCACCAAAGACCCCGCTGAACACAGACCTCCTTCACTTGTGTAGTCAGCGTGGCTATGTGAGTTATTTCTCCAGCAGAGTAGCAGCCTGAGGCACATATGAGGAAAGTTGCGGTTGGAGATTATGCAAAGCTGTGGATTGGCAAGGTAGGCGCAACCTAAGGACACTGACGTGAAGGGGAGGATGCTGGTGAGAATGTGGTTGGAAGTCTTGGTCATGAGGCCCAGGCTGGGAAGGGAAAAGACAGTACAGACGGGAGGACGGGTGGATTGAGTGTGGGGTGGGGTGGGGGGAGGAACCACAGGCCTTACGGAAGGAGGTGGGTTTGGGGAAATAAGGGAATGGACTGATGAGAGGGCAGAGTTTTTGGCTAGACAGCAGGTTGCTGAGTTTCGGATGTCAGAGATAAAATAATTCTGGGCCTGGGAAGGGGAGTGGGTCGATGCAGGAAAGTCGATCGGGAGCCATACACCGCACGCACATTGGGGTGAGTAAAATGATGTGGTCATCAAACCTGGACTTCGTAAACTCGTTAAAATAAATAAAGTAAATCTGTCCTTGAAAACCAGGTTGATGACACCCAAATAAATGCAAAATTTGGAAAACAACTGCTTTGCTTTGCATATCTTAACAATTAGGAGGTAGGATAGGAAAAGATAGGCCTCTCTACAGAACTTATAAAGAATAATACAGCCCTGCCCGGTGAGGCTCCGTGGACTGAGCTCCAGCCTGTGAACCAGAGGGTCACAGGTTCGATTCCAAGTCAGGACACATGCCTGGGTTGCAGGCCAGGTCCCCAGTGTGGAGCGTGTGAGAGGCAACCACATATTGATGTTTTTCTCCCTCCCTTCCCCCGTCTCTAAAAATAAATAAATACAATCATTAAAAAAGAAAAAACAATACATGGAGACCTCACTTAGTAGGTGTCCTTCTATTAAGAGAATGAGTGAACATATTAGCAAGTTTTAAATTCCAGATTTTTTACTTCTCTAGAAAAATTAGATGATCCTTGCAGCAGTGAGATTCCTTACCAGGTTATCTGAACCCTTCCCACTCCATGTTGCTGGGCCACACCTGGCTGAGTGTCGGCTGCTCTTTATCATTATGTTCACACTGTCTTTCTTCGAGTTAAGAGGAAAGTGAAATATTTCTTGTATCATCAAAGGCTCTTTTCAAAACTGGAAAGCCAAAGATGACTCAGGAAGAGTGTCCCTCTGCATTTGATATGGAAATACATCACTGTTAAAAAACTATAAATTATGCAGCTCTTATGAAACAAATCCTCCCAGCCTTGCTCACTGTGTTATGTACCTGGCTCCTGTACAGTATGGCATCAGAGTACGCCATGACTCCTGTAATAAATAAGAGTAGAACTACAATCAAATGCATGAGAGTTTACAAAAGCAGTGTGATAAACGACAGTCATTTTTAGAGCAGATCGATCATACGACTGTCCTGATAGAATAATCCTATCAAATGTCCAGTAATTAATAGAGTCTCTCAAAGCGCTACCTAACTCAATAGCCACTGATGAAAATTTAACAAATTCACGCAGTGGTTTCTCAGTGGCTGGAAAGCGTCACTGTAACTCCCAGAATGCCTCATTTACTGTCAGCCATATACACCTAAAGAAGGTGTCTTCAAAGTAAATGGGTGAGAAGTCCTTAGTGTCAGGAGGGGAAGAATATGCAAATAAAAGCTTTTGGCAGGTCTAACTTATTTCATTGTTGCCTAGGAAGAAAGGGAATCACTACGTATTTCCTGTTGAGAATCATGAGAAAAGGAACACAATCCAGGCTTTAGGACCGAACTAGATTAAAATCAACACCTTGGATTAGTTTAGGAGGCAAATGGGTAGCCACTGTGGACCAGTGCATCGATATGATCTGCTATTTCCTTAAAGCACCGTGGTCGTCTACTTTCTGCTCCAGTAAGCGCTCATATTCAGCATAAGAGGAGAAGTCCAATGTGAAAGTTCAGCGGTTCAATTACACCTTTAGAGAAATACAGGAAATAAAAGGAGACTGAGGTTTGGGAGAGAAAATTGTCATAATACATGGAGGGGAAAATGATCTGAAGGTCAAGAATTCAGTGAGTCAGAAAAATTTAGAGTCACGATGTGACAGCCTACAGACTGGATACGAACATATAACCTGCGAGGGTATAAATGACGGCATGAAGTCAGTAAACAGCGTCAGTGTTTTCCGGGGGAGGCCGAAGTAGGGCTATTAAGGATGACAGAGCCCCAGTAGCTCATGTTCTAGGCATCCCAGTGAAGATACAAACAAAGAGAGGACCGTTTGGTGAAGGGCGACGACCATGAGTAAAAAGCTGAGATGGACCGAAATAGAGAAAAATTGAAGAGATAAGGCTACCTATGGCCGGCACAAGGAGATGATGAGATTTTAAAGGTGTCTATTAGCTTTAAACACGATGAACAAATTATTCAGCAGGACCTAACCATTAGTATATAGATATAATAAATTGGCATAAGCACTATGGAGTTATCCAGATTGAGCATTTTATTAATGTCTTGCCTGTTTCTTACCACCCTGCTCTGAACATTAGTCGGAAGGAATGATTAGATAAGTATTTGCTGAGGAATGACTATGATATTTGGCTCTTCTTCTCACTCTAACTTACTATGAATTTTACAGTGCCATGAAAACACTTTGGCAAAATATTTACAATTTCTTCAATAACATTGTTCATGGAACAGGAGAAATGGAGAGCAATCCCTTAGTGACTGCAGAGACAAGCAGGAAGGACAAGAAACGGTCGCTCCCTATGCTGTTTGTGATGAACAGAATCTGAGTTTGGCTATTAAAAAGCCTGCTGGGAGCTGAGAATTTCACTTGCCAGAGGAACATGCTGCTTCCCATAGAGGAGAAACGGTACCTACGGTCTGGCTGTTCGCGGGTTGGGGAAGGACAGCTATAACATTCGCAGGCGTGTGACCAGCAAGCGGCTTGTGGGAGACAAGCACTTATGGGGATAAAAAGGAACCTGGCACAGGCCTTGTGCTTCTGGCATCATTAGTTACAGGTCTGCCAAGATACTTTGGGAAACGTTTTAATTTAAATACCAAGTCTATTTCAGCGGAGCCTCCCTGGTTTGACCTGTTGGGAGTCCAGAGTGAGATGGATAGGTGTTCATTTTGCAGATTAAGCAAATTAGATGGCACTTTTATAAAAAGCATTCTGGAGGTTTAAATCTCTGTATATCCTCACTCATCCGGGGAAACTCACGGTACAAGTTGCAGGATATATGGCTCTCACAGCACTTTACTAGTGACTGGTAACTAGTAAAGGGCAGAGACACCTCCAGGCGTTTATTCAAAATACCAAGGTTAGATAAAGAACCTTAGGAATAAAGGCCTCACATTCTTCCTCTCCTCTCCCACAGGGTACTCAGAGGATTCTCTGACCATAGCTTCAATAAGGTAAATCAAGAACTTGATTTGAATTCTTTGAACATATTTTTTTTCTGCAAAAACTATCACAAAACCAAAAAAATTTTTGAGCCAAAACTAGGGGAAAAGAAAAGGGATGGGACTGAATCAAATATTAAAAACGTTGTCCTTCGATGTACATATATTTCTGTGAGTGTGTAGGCCCTAGTTGGCAGGAGCGGATAAAGTGGATGGTTTACAAAAACATAAATCCACAATATCAGAAGAATTAAAAGGCCTCCCAAGAATAACATCGAGGCATTTGAAGTTGCTTCAGCTACAGGGGTGGGTACGTATATATATGTACATAAAGCCCAGTTCCTCAGAGGCTACTGGGCAGTTTGCTACAACATCATGCTAATGAGAGCAAGGGTTTGAGTTCACTGCCCCCTCCCTCCCAGGGGACTATCAGTTTCTCTTCCTGCACCCTGGGAGAAGCTCACTCCTAGAAAAGGAAACTCAATCGTTGGAGAAGAGCTGGGGTGCTAAGGGAGGACTGGAGGTTGGAGTCAGGGAGCCAGGGATGGAGAGGTGGGTGGGGCCTCGGGTACCAGGCTATGAATTTGGGCCCTGTCTGGCTGGAGGGATGAAGATTCCGGTGGGGTGAGGTGGGGGGACACAATCAAGGTTGATTTTTTAGGTGTACCCAAGGTCACTGTACCCAAAGCGTTGGGGCTGGGGGTAACTGGGGAGGACCAGAGCGAGGAGGGACCAGCTGTTGAGACCCAATTAGGATATACTGGCTCTCAGAGGGCTGGACCAGCCAGCATCTCAGGAAGGTCACTAAGAGGAAGGAACATTGGTGATAAATCTCTGTAGGGCGACTCAGAGGGCACAGAGCTTGCTCTGCTGAGGTCCTCTGCTCCCTACCTCGCTCCATCTGCCCCCCCCCCCAACTTATCCATCCACCCATCCACGCCACCCTGGCATCCTGGAAACCGGCTGAATCAATTTACAGTTTTAGGAGCCCGAGGGAACAGGCTCCCTGACTGTATGTGACTTGGGTCTGACCACTGTACTGGGGAAGCCCAGAGGGGAACGTCCGGATGGCTTTTTCCCAAGCTGGGTGGGAGGGGAAAGAGTCCAGTGCTCCGGGGCTGGGGGTAGGAGGGAGGGGCAGCGGCAGAGTCCCCAGAGACTCGGGACATCAGCTCCTGGCACAGGGGCCTGCGTGGTCGTTGCCCCTCGGGGCGCCTGGCGGGTGATTGGCAGTTACCACAGTTCTAGTGGGGCACTGGGTATCCGACACGCGTCGCCACCTCCGGTCCTTGTCAGCTAGGCTACTAAATTCCCGCCGCCCGGTGATCTGGCCCCACAGCAACGGCCGCGACCTCGAGCAGGAGCCCGGGCAACCAGTGGTGGGTCAGCGGCGGTCAGGGAGGGTCCCTGCGGCCTGTAGGGGGCAGCGCGGAGCCTAAGAGGAGACTCTGCAGCGGGCGGGGGTGGGTGGGTCTGGGCTACCCCGGGCTTCGCAGCGACTGCAGGGCCCGGCTGCCCCTGCCCGCCGTGCGCTTCCTCTCCAAGCTTCAGGCCTCAGCGGGACCCCGGAGGGACGTGGCAGGGCCACCTTGCGACGGCCCGTAGGGTTAGGACCAGGGGAGACCCGCGTTGCTTCCCCTCCTCGAGGGGTGGCGAGACCCTCCAGAGGCGCCTCCGCGTGGCAAGAGTTCGTCGGGTCGCCTGCGGCTTCCCCTCGCTTTAAGCCCGAGGTGGGCACCCCGAGCCCGGGGCAGGGCGCCCGGGTCCCGCGCGATGACTGCTCCAGCCCCCGAGGAGGGCGGGTGCCCCGAGCCCCAGAGCTGGGCGCCCCGTTACCTTGGGGTGGGTGCCTGGAACCCCGGGGTGGGCACCCGGCGCGCGCGGGTTATTTTTGGCGCCCGCGGCGGCATGTGTGTCTGGGCGTGTTTTCCTTCCCCAGGTGCCCGGAGCCCCGGCTCCGCCGCCACCAGAGCTGACTTGTGTCTCTCTCTTCTCTCCCCTGCAGGAATCTTTCCCTTCTGCCGTTACGACTTTCACCGCGCGCGGGGAGAGCTGGAAACAAACATCACATCTAAATTTAAAAAAAAGAAAGAAAGAAAGAAAAGAAAAAGCGGAAGAAGCTGCGAGGCGGCGACAGGGAGGAGGCGAGGAGGAGGGGCCGCGCACGGCGGGCCCGGCCGGAGGCGGCGGCGGGGACGCGGGGACGCGGGGACGCGGCTTTGTGCTGGCGGGTCGCGGGGCGCCCATGGCGGAGTGCGGCCGGGGGGGCGCCGCTGGCGGGGCCCTGCCCACCTCCCCGGGCCCAGCTCTCGGTGCCAAAGGTGCCCTGAAACCCGGGGAAGGTGACGGCAGCGGGGGAGGTCGCCTCGGCCACGGGCGGACGCGCTGTGACAGCGGCGGGGTTTCTAACGGAGACTGCAGCCTCGGCGTGTCCGGGGAAGAAGCCCGGGTCAGCTCCGCCGCGGGACCTCACGGTGGGGTGCTCGCTCCGAGCCCCAGCCCGGCTGCCTGCCCCCTCCTCCGGGAAAACAAACCGGGCGGCCTGCCCCGCCGGAGCAGCATCATCAAGGTAAGTGGGAGAAGGGCGCTGATCGCCCACCCCCAGCCGCCCTTGGGGTCTGTTTCCCCCGGAGGAGAGTGGTGGTGGAAGGAGGGGTTTGTAAGAGGAGCCCATTGCTAACGGGAACCACTGGTGCACGGGTGCTTGGGATGGTTGAGCAGGGATTGGATGCCAATGGCATTTGGAAAGATTCTGGAGATGTTTCTCAGTGTGCAGGGGAAACTGTGCTCAGACATTCCCAGTTGAACTTGGGGCTGTCACCTCTCCCAGGATTGGCCTGGAATTATGGCCTGTACCTGGCTGGGCAGGGCATGTTCTTCTGTGGTAGCTTCAGCTGGTAACAGACTCCCAGTAAGGTCTCTATTGTATGTTTGAGGCAGTTGGTGATTATGTGAAAACATTTTCTTAAAAATCCCAGAGGGAGAACAGAGATTATTTTACAGGTTTCTTCTGATCTGTATACAGTTGCTTTTTGCAAACGGTTCTACTTCGTGGCTGCAATGTCTCTGGTCAGTCACATGGAGACGTGGAGTAGGGTTCTGAACATAAATGCAAATTTCCGCTTTCTTAGGCTCAAAAGCACTGAGAGATTATAGTGGACTGAGAGAAAAAGCACTGGACGATTTAGGCTTTTTCTTGCTGCAGTAGGCTGGTCTTCAGTTCTGTGCAAGTTCTTTTGGGCAGTTTGCTTGGTCTTGATATCTCTTGCGTTGTGTTATTTAGCAGAAAAAAAGCCAGCGATTGTTTGTGTACTTTAAACTCAAGAAGTAATATTAGGAACTCCTGAGTTTGTTGTGGTTTCATTCTAATATTACATTTTGGTCTGCCGTGTAAAAATATTTCTCGCGACATTAAGTGAAAAAAAAAGTTGATAAGCTAAGAAGCACAGAGCCTTAGCAGGACTGGCTCATTCTGCTCCCGTTTGGAGCACATATGAAAATGTTGCTTTCTGAAAAGCAAGAGCTTACCAGGTCAGTGAGCAGCCACGCACATGGACAGGGCTGCACGGATAGCTGATGACTGGTGGGAAGGAGGACAGAAGGGGCCACAGTGAAAAGAGTTGGCACTGGTGGTACTAGAAATTTAATTGGACCTACAGTAGTCTCCTAAGTACAGTGTTAAGTGTCCGATGCTGTTCTCAACGTATACAGTAATCTAGTGAAATACACCCCCTTGCTACTCTGTGTAACAGGCAGTTGTGAAACTGCTTTTCGCTTTGTCATCTGTTTGCACAGTTTGTGTCTGGGCAAGTGCACAATTGAAGGGCTTCAAGCTCAAGTGTAGTGACCTACCTACAGCAGGTGTTCTGAGTTAAACTAAGAAAAAAGTAACGTATAATTTTGCTGCATACCTAGCTTTTAGTGCTTCATATATATATATATTTACACTGCAGCTTATATTTCTGTGAAAGTTGCTTTCAACTGTGTGGGATAATCAGTCCTATTACAGAGCTATGTGTCATCTGTTTTTATCCATGACTAGAGATTTGTGGTGATTTTGCACTGTGGTATTAATGAAATTTGAAGTGAAAATTCCAGTGAGGATACCAACCTACTCTAACCCTTCACCTCCATTTTTCTGGAGGGGCCTGTTTTTACATTTAAAAAAAATCCCAACGTTATTGGTATCTGTAGTGGGATTCACAGAGTAGCTTAGTTATAACAGCATCTGCTTGAATACATTCTTGGAAGATGAGGAAGGATGGCTTGCCCATATTTCTGATGTGTGGAATTGAGAATTTTGTTGGTAGATGTCATTTCTTCATTGAAGATTCTAGAAGAACATGGGAAAATGATTAATTATAAAGAAATTACTGGTTTCTGAATCGTTACACTTTGAAAGATCTCTTTGTCATTTTTGTTCTTGCTAATGAAGGCAGTTGGCTTCTTGTTCACAGTTATTTTCCTAGGTACACATTGCCAGCACCATCGTTAGGCCTCAATATGCTTCCTGAGTGAATGCAGGAGTGATAAGGAAGTACATGTGTTCTCTGTTAAGTTCTCCTAATTTCTGAAAAGGGCTACTTTGGATTTACCATTCTCATATCTTATTCATTGACTTGTACCTCCTGAGGAGACTTGATCAACTGCTTTTTCTTGCCAAGCTGATCAAGCCTGGATTACAGGAAAGGGTTGTGCTATAATTAAGTAGGTAACTAGTTGGTATGTTTCCCCTTGAATGGGTGCCTTGAAGAATCAAGATTTCATCAAGGTAGTATGGTACTTCCTAAAGACGTAACAGCCTCTATCCTAATAGAATAGAGATCTTTCACTTTAACATCAAATTTCATATAGCAATGAATAACACAGAGACTTTTTTGTCACATGAATGGCAGAAATTATATTTCATTTTTCTCAAAAAATAATATAGAACTTAGCAAAAGCCTCTGTAAAAAAGCAACAGTCACCGCCTTCTTGTGTTCGTTTTGAATACAGGGGATGAATGCAGGCAGGTGATGGAATAGTAGAGGCGGAAGTCGATTAGTAAGCAAGAGCATAATTGGGGGCATGAGAAAATGGCAGGAGTAAATTCTAGCTAAGGAACAGAGACCAGAATTCACAGGGTTGCATTCGCTGAAATGTCAGGCTTGTGAGCTATGCCTGTTTCCTAGCTTGTGTCTTCATTACAGCCCCTGACAGCCCTCTCAGGTGGGCATCCCAGTGTGTACAGGAGGAGAGAGCCTGTTGCTGACATGCAGAACCACAGGCAGAAACACACAGTGGTCTCACCAGCATTATATTCTCCTTTTAAAGTCATTGCTTTCGAATTCCATCTGTTTTGTAAATGCAGCGTTAAGTAAGAAATTGTTGTCAAACTACATTTCTGCCCAAGTAGGTGTACAGATCTGTACTGAAAGAGCTCCTTGGTTATGGTAAGAGTGTTGATGAAAATACAGCCTTGCAGAGCCTTTTACAAATACTACGAGGAGGAAAGTAAGTCATGGGGCCCCTCACCACCTTTTTCTACTTTTCCTTAGCTTATTGAAAATACCGTTATACTTTTGAGATTATTCACAAAGCCTATGGCTAGATTTGTAGGGAACGGGGCCCTTTATGTTTGTCTTCTTAAGTGATCTAGTAAACGAAAACATCACTTTCATTTTCTCTTTTCATATTTCATGTCATCACACTATTCAATACGACGCACACTTTATTTTGAAACAATTAATTTGGCTTGTGATTCACGTAGCATCCATGTTTTTTGCAAAGAGCTGAATCCTTTAACTTAGGAGCTTGGTCTGAAACTATGAAGGAGCAATTTTAGGCCTTAGATTTCTTTTTAATTTTGGAAATAAATGAAGTTAAAATGTCTGTGTATTTGGATGGTTTACTTTAATGAAAGCTAATTGAATCTTTTAGTTGGTACTTTTAAAAATGTGGCCTAATTTGCATAAAGTAAAACTCACTTCCGTTGGTGAGTTCCATGCCACCTGACAAACACAAATGTGTGTTATCATCTCCGCTGTCAAAATACAGAGTAGTTCCATCACCTCAGAAAATTCCCCTGTCCCTTTGTAGTCTTCCCCACCCCCGGCCCCAGACCAAGGCAACCTTTGATCTTAGGTACTTTTTTAATAAGTAAGAAATACAGGTACTGCATTATTTTGGTATTTAAAAGTAATAACTGCTGCCACCATTTACTAAACACTCACTGCATGCAAAACACAGGAAAAGTTTTTAATGCAGTTCTTTGGCTTGGTTCTGTACCAATCATGTAGGCTGAAGAGAACCAGAATTCAGGCAGGTTAACCACTTGGCGGAGGTGTTAGAGCTGGTGGATGTACTCCACGTGGGTACAGCTGCACTCTGCTGCCCCCCAAATTGTACTGGCTGTTTTAAATTCTCTATTTAATGATGGGAGCCTTGGTAATTTGGAACACTGGCTTTGGTTTTCCCCTTTAAATGTAGGGGACATGGGAGAGCGGGGAAAGAATCTGTTTCTGCTGGCAGAAGAGGTTGACAGATAATGTCATCAGGCAGCTGTTAATCACCTGTTGTAGCTGCTTGACCAGAGCCACCAGCTTCTCTGGGACGGATGGTTTGACCTTGTCAAGGTGGCAACCCTTATTTTTCTTAATATCATCACTTCTAGTATCATAATTATAGTATCATGCTATGTAGGAAGAAGGCCTTTATTACCTTTTGGCCAAAATATATCCCTATGTCTTGATGCTGAACATCCCAAAGTGGGGAATAAACGGGCTTTTTGGATTTATCATACATATTTAAACAGAATAATAAAAACGTCCCCCGAAAATGATATTGTCCCATGGTTAAAATAAACTAGACTCCTTGTAGGCAAAAGCTGGGCTATATTTATCAGTTCTGCATAGATCATAAGCACTCAGTAACTATATTTTGAATTGGACTTTACATATACTATTTGCATTTTACTGTAGATATTTTTTTTCTTGAATGGTTGGGAAAAGAAAATTGCATGCCCCAAAATCTTGTGGGCATAAATATTGAACAAACAGTAACAGGATAGAAAAGTGAATTTGTCTGCATAGATAGGCAGCCTGGATCTTTTAGGTCAGAAAAATCCATTGGCCAGCCAGCAGCTCCCCACTTCACTTTGAACTAATGCATTTTAGGTCACACAAGATAACTGTTGAAGGGCCAGGGCATGGTTCCTTCTCTCAGCTGCTCAATTTTCCAGCCTCTCCTCCAAACGGTGATGTTTGACTCAGTTGTTTTTCATTCAGATAGGCAACTGACATGAAATTGTTTTGTTTTGTTTTGTTTTTAATTGCTGCCCTCGGCCACTCAAGCTATTTTCTTAGATTGCTCTCTCCCAGAATCAGTTCAGTTCCTTTTATAGTTCTGTGCTCTCCACAAGGGGTCTGAACTTGACTGTTCCTTTTTTCTTTTCCTTTTCTTCTTCTTTTTTTAATGTCTAAGTTACCCATGCCTCACTGTTGAACAAAATAGGGCATTGTTATTTACAGCCAAAATGCAGATATACATGAAGCATGAACATTCATATTTTTTCTGTCTATATTTTAAACA